ATATTGAGCAAAAGGAATAATTGATTGATTGTTGAATTTGTATAACTCCTATTGGTAAGGGAATAAGTTAAAAGCTTAGAACTATAGGAATAGATTAAACCTACTATATACCAATATATGTGAGCAGACTTAATTTCACGTGCTCGATGGGTGATATAGTCTGCTGAATATAGTGTTCTATGCGAGAAATATAACATGAGATACTCAACTGAAAACAAGGGCGAAATTTGCGAATGTTTCAGGAGGACTGCGTCTATGGAAGTGGAAGTTTTAGATCAACAGAAAAAATCTGAAGTAGCTTTTATGTAAACTGAAATAATTAGATCTTTTTTTTGGAGAAGTGGAGGAGGCATAGACGATATGTTCTCACTTTTAAGTGGAACACTACTGCTCCCTTCCTCTCCTCGAAACCCATGATGTTTCTTCATCTCCAGAAGAAATCTTTTACATGCTTCGAAGAAAATAGTGATGGTGTCGATTAAGCTTCTATAAAAAGCTTTCTGTTGATTGCTTAGAAGGATTTTGCAGGAAGTGAACTTAGATTGAACAGTAATAATTTTAAAACTCCAGCAAAAATGTTATTTTGGAATTTTGTGGTGCGAAAGAAGGCCGCATAGTAACGAGATCCACACTTATCGTCTCAACTAATAATGGCTTAAGTAGAGTTGACTGCTATGTGTTGCATATTTGCATATAAGGGTCGATTATGCGAATACAAATGCGGTTCGGCAATGTATTTGCCGGAAATTTCTGGGACCACTTGTTGAGAAATCATTTACGTATACAGTTTGTCCGCCTTATAAAATGAATTTCTACATTTCACTACCATTTAACAAAATTTATACTACTTTTTATAATATCCAAGTTTAAAAATACTTTCTATCTTAATATCATATCCATTATTATACGTTCAAGATCTCAGTTTCCGTAAAGTCTTTGTTACCTAAAAATTTGGATCAATCAACGTAATTCACTTTCAAAAGTAGTGTGACAAGTAAATTAATTTATTTAATTCTAAAGCCGAAAAAACAAAGGAATGGTGTTGGTATCAAAATGCTTATTATTTGTCTTTAAGTCGTAGATGGGAAAAATGAAATAATATCGGGTAAGCGCGGTCGATTTTTCCCAGCGTGTATAGGATAATCCGTATTACATACACGGAAATTTTTATCGTTATATCTTCTGTGGTATGCAAGTAATAAGCAAAAGTTTCAATTCTTTGCTTTTAAAAACAGAGGTATTCCTAATTTACCTCGTACTATGTCTGTGTGTATTGGACCAATTTGCATATTTCTATTATACTCCGGCGTGCAAAAGGTTTCAATTTTGTTTTTGGTCGAACTTGAAGCCAATAGTTTAATGTTTGTAATGCGGAAATTGTTTACTACAGATGGACCGATGGACAGACGGGCCTAGATTGAACCAGAGTATATTTCCCGCTTATTATGAAAAGAAAAATGTGATTTTTTAAATGGAAACAATTGTTGAAACACCTCCACTTCAAGATAAATGACAATGTGCTCGATGGCATGTGACATAGCAATACGTTTATCGTTTATAAATGCAGTACATTTTTGTGGTAAATGCGAACGACGAATATAAAACAATAAAATGAAAATTGTTTTTAAGCTTGAAGTGGTTTAGTGAGGCTAGCGTAAAATTGAATAATGTTGTTTTAGATTGCTTTGAACTTCAAAAAATTACTGCATATATTTAAACATAACATATTCATTCTATTTATGCCAAATGTATTTTCTTATTTGCTAAACAAAAAGAAATCATATGAAGATTTTATCTTTTCTCATATCAAACCTCATTATAGAAAGCAGTAAGAGTTAATAAAATGAAATTTTCTGCTTCGTTTAACCCGCATTAAGCAGAGTAGAACATTGTATGTGAAAAATACTTTAACATCGACCCTTATGTTCATACAAAAACTTTCTTTTTCTTTTCTTTTTAATGATTTTTAAAAATCCATGGAAGAAATATTGAATCAGTTTACAAAAAAAAAACTTAACAAAAAGTATTTAGAGAAAACTTAAGAAAGAAACATAGAGAAACGTTTGATAATGTAAGGCAAACACAATTAATAAATAAATTTTATGTGAATTTGGAAATAAACCATGCCAGTCACGTATAGACCATTTCTGCAAAATGCATTAATATTGTTAGTGTGTTTATTTGTTCACGTTTCCAAACAAGTAAATAATGCGAAGAAGTGAGTATGTTGACACGCAGATAGACTCACCCATTATTATATTCACTGCATTGATCACAATTTTTGAGATGTTTTGTTGAAATTTGGGATAGCACCGCGTTTTTGTCGAAGAACGAACAGTGTTGGTTTTGACATTTTTTTGCAAAAAAGCATAATTTTCTCTATTTTATGAGTAATATTGGTCCATAATAGTAATTGGACAAAACAAAAAGACTAAATGCACCAAACTGGATCACTTAACTGCACTTTTTGTGCCTCACACCATACAGCGTTTAACATAGGAAGAAAAGCCCTTGGTATCTTCTGACAAATAAAGATGAAAAACATGTAAAAAAATTATATTCGGTATTAACCGATTCGTTTATATGCATCACTGTTGTCCGAAAAAGGACAAAAAAAGTAAAGGAACTAAATTTGCATGCTCTATAATATGGAATGGGAAATTTTTTATTTTCAAAATAAAAGTTTTTGTTGCATAGGAGTGTGGACGTTGTAGGCGTGGCCTTGGAAAAGTTTAAGTCACTTCCAAATTTTTTCGCAAGTTTGTATACGATATCTTCATTTTCACTATCGGAAGAATGCTTACCGCAAATACTAAATAGTCACGCAGGCAGACAGACGGACTTGTTTAGGTGCATTGCAAATTTGGAACTGGCCAAGAATTTATATACTTCGCAGCGTGTTTCTGCGTCTTATAACGGCATTGAAAAAGCAATTAAATTTTGGGACATTATACTATTGGGTAGGCATGGTCAAATGTTTCCATTTTTGTACAGGCACTACAATATCGCCCATGAAATACGCGTTCAAATGTTCGTACATTTATCTGCGATAGTTTAGGAGTAGTGAGTAAAAATCCAATTTTTTATTTCTCTTGAAAAACAAAGGATCCTCACTTTACGTAGTAAACAGCAATTGGCAGCCTTCTTGTAAAGGCGCAAATAAGCGCAAGGCAAAGTCAGTCGAGTCAGGACGATTGCATTGTAATTTTCGATCTGACAAGATCGAAGGGTGCACTGTATATATATATATCTGTTTGTAGAGAATCTGTAAATAGATCTTTTAAGAATTTTAAATAGAACTTATGCTGTCCTAAAATCACTATTCAATGTTACGAACTTAAGCTCAAAATAAGTTGGATGGAAACGTAAAATCACGAAGGGCATTTCATCTTACAATACACATACATCATGTCTTCATTTTTCCGGGTTACAAAATAGAGGGAAAGCTTAAGATTATGCCAATTCTCACAACCTAGTATTTAAATATTCACTTGAACTTGGGGTCGGGGACAATGATGTTGATTTCTTCACTGCCCAGTCTGTTACTTAGGGCAATACATCTAATTTTCATGTCTAAGACAATAAACAGTTAAAATTCCCGTCAAACCGGTAGAAGGCATCAAACACATATCAAATATTCTTGGTATCGAGCGACATTCAAAAATTTGCTCAAGTTGGTGGGGGGCAAATGAGGTGCAGCTTAAGTCAATGAAAGCATTTATCCCACGGTTTGTGAGGTTTAGCATCTACTTACTACTTATTCACAGTTGACAAAATGGTTTGCTCTTCACACATTCATATTATACACTTTTGTAAAAGGCATTGTGTCAAGGGCTCTAACTAGCCCACTAACACACCTGAGTACAATTAAACGTTCTCTTATGTTTGCTTAAAACGGTGGATATCTTTTATTCTTCATTTGTCCTAAATAAATATGGAAACGTTCTTTTAGGTTAAACAAGTTGTTAACACTTTTGCTAGTTATATGCCAGCCTTTGTGTAACGCGAACATTGCTTGCCGTTGTTAGGCATATGAAAAGAAACTTTTCATTCTTTGGGGTTGAAAAATGCATAAGGAACTGTAGGTGAAATTTATGGTTTTCGATTGTATGAATCCTTACAAATAAAACGTGCGCCATAAATTATTTCTTTCGTTTACGTACGGAAATTCAATAAAAATTCTTGACTTACTATAGCGTTAATGCTTATACCTGAGCTCATGCGTTTCTTTGCAACGCTTTCGAAAGTTAAATAGAACATCTATTGTTCTATCCTTTCTATTCTTTAGCGTATTGTATACATGTAACGCATTGGTCAATAATTACTGGGAATGAGAAAGAGATAAATACGGTGCAGTATATCGAGCATCATTTCATACAACCCATCCTGTTGCTATACATTGCTTTTGTTTCGTTATAAGTAAACGAGGTAGTCATGTGGAAAACGATTTCTCCACCAGCCAAAAGTTTTAACACATTACATCTTTTGGGCGACAATTGTTTATCGAAACTTCGATTTTTGATTATCGGGTATAATCTTCCGGACTTTCTTTTTGTGTATTTTCCATCGTGTCCGTAAGACTTTGTTTAAAACCAGCAGAGTAGCGATAATTTGTTGTGTTCGCCGGAAAAGAGCAGCATTTCGACTAATGTTGGATTTGAAGGGTGCGTTTCCCCATCAAAAAACAAATGTTTAATCAACATCTGACATTCAGATTTCTCCATTGCCGCAAAAGTAAGAAAATGACAAAAGGTCACGTTTTGCAACGTCATTGCAACTTACGTAAAATTGATTGCAGTTACAAGAAATTTTAGGAAACCTCGTTTGAGTTGTAAAACTTTCCAAAGACGATATGAATTTTTTTTTAAAAACGATATTTACTTGTCGGTTCCGGAAATTATTGACCAATTCGTTATATATGTAATTGTGTTACACTTAAGAGTTGTGCATAAATTTACGCTTCATTGCAACTTATGAATACCCTTTGTGTTGCCTTTCAGTTGGAAAATCGTGCATTAAGATTACGTGAAGTTGCTACAGCTATGCAGCAATACCAGGACGAGATGCAACCAGCAATGGTTACAGCGCAGCAATTGAACTCTGCCGCTGCTGCGCATAATTCGAATAGACTGCTACATACTCATGCCATAGCTAGTGATGATGGTGGGACAGGTCGTACCGGCGATGAAGAAGATCCAGGTGGTGTGCCGCATCCTCGTCTGGGTAGCTCGGCTCTAAACGCTGTATCACCCCAAGAGCATAGCACCAAAGGTGGCGGTGACAAAAGCGTTGTTCAATTAGATAGCACCGGTCAGAGCAGTTTGCTGGATGGGTTACACAATTCTATAGGTGAATGGGAATATTTTGATGAGGCTGGCTACATTAAAGGTGGAGCCTTGAGACCGGGAGAAGATCCCTACGTACGTAATCGTTTCAATCAGGAAGCTAGTGATGCTTTACCTAGTAATCGTGAAATTCCTGAAACAAGACACCCTATGTAAGACATTTATGATTTATTCAAAAGTTAAATAAATTTAATAATGAATAATGATAATAACAAATACCTCTTCAGGTGCCGCAATAAGAAATATCGTAAAGACTTACCTGCCACAAGTGTCATCATCACATTCCATAACGAAGCCAGATCGACGTTGTTGCGTACAATTGTCAGGTAATAACATACATCTTTAATTTTAGGAATAACTGATTCATTACTCTGTGTGTATCTGCTTTGTGTAGTGTATTGAATCGTAGCCCAGAACATCTAATACGTGAAATAATTTTAGTTGACGATTATAGCGATCATCGTAAGTGCTTATTATAACGTTTGCCTTGTTCTGGTGTCTGTGAGTTTACATTTTTGCCTTTCATAAATTTTACTTATGTAGCCGAGGATGGACTAGAATTGGCAAAAATCGACAAGGTGCGCATCATGCGCAACGATAAACGTGAAGGTTTAGTGCGGTCCCGTGTGCGCGGTGCGGATGCCGCGGTTGCTGACGTTTTAACATTTCTTGATAGTCATGTTGAATGCAACGAACAATGGCTGGAACCATTGTTGGAAAGAGTGCGAGAAGATCCCACACGCGTTGTTTGCCCTGTCATCGATGTCATTAGCATGGATAATTTTCAATATATCGGTGCTTCGGCTGATTTACGTGGTGGTTTCGATTGGAATTTGATATTCAAGTGGGAGTATTTGAGTCCAGCGGAAAGAGCGGTACGTCAACACGATCCCACCACAGCGATACGTACACCTATGATAGCTGGCGGTTTATTTGTTATGGACAAAGCTTACTTCAATAAATTGGGCAAATACGACATGATGATGGACGTGTGGGGTGGTGAAAATCTTGAAATTTCATTTCGTGTTTGGCAATGTGGCGGTAGTTTAGAGATTATACCATGCAGCCGTGTAGGTCATGTATTCCGTAAGCGACATCCGTACACATTTCCGGGCGGCAGTGGCAATGTGTTTGCGCGTAATACACGTCGAGCTGCCGAAGTGTGGATGGACGAGTATAAAAAATACTATTATACAGCAGTGCCGTTGGCGAAAAATATACCATTTGGCAAGTGAGTATGAGTATGTGTGTGTGTGTGTGTGTGTGTGCGACTAAAATCCCATTGCAAACTGCCTTTAATTTTTCAATATGAGATAAATTCGGTGTTTCCTCCATTCAACTTTAAACGTGCTGCTGGCTTATGTGTCCGTGCTCTCTCCCTCTCTCCCTCTCTCTCTCTTTCACATTATACGTTTACCTTAAAATCATTATTTTTTGCGTGTTTTTATCTTATTTTTTTGGTTGGATTTTGCTTGTCTATTGTTTGTGACAGTTGCTTTTTTTTGTTTTATTCTGGCATTTTTCTTTCATTCTTTTTATCTCTTCATTCTTCAATTTTCAGCATTGATGAACGTTTAGCTTTGAAACATAAGTTACATTGTAAACCATTTAAATGGTATTTAGAGAATGTCTATCCGGATTTACAAATACCAGAATCCTATCTTGTGGGACAATTTAGGCAAAGTGATAATTTCTGCTTGGATACAATGGGAAATTTAGTTGATGGCACTGTGGGTAAGTAACTACATTTCAATGAGTTTGCCGCAGTAAATTTATTGATTGGAACTGTCTATAAAGTTAATCCATATTAAACGGAATTGACAAATGATGGAGAGGAATAAGGGAAATAAACAATAGCGAAGTCAATGAACATAGAATGAGAGAAAAGAACGCATCCGACCGTTGTACCGTTGGTATCAAGCAACATCCTCTTAATAGAAAGAGTTGTTGCGATTGCGAACGATTACCACATTCCTTCTACAACAGAAATACCCAGCAGAGAGTAAACACTTTATAATGTTTATACGATTTATGAAATATGTGCCTTGGTCCTTTTACGTAAGGGTTACGTATTTCATAAGTCCTCCATACGAAAACAACAAAACATTTAGCAAAAAATAAGCCATCTTTGCCGTTTATATTTCTAGCGAGATTCTAAGTTAACTTAGACTTACTTTAGATTTCAGTTAGCTCTACCCAAAAGAAACTAAATCTTAGTTCCATTGTTTCATTTGTAGTGCCGTAAAATAGTTAGTAGGGAATAAAAAGTATTTATTGTTCTTACCGTCGAGGAGATGTTAACTCGATATCATCGTTTCCGTACATTTATTGCACTCTAGCATAAACAGCTTTTTTTGTAGTAATGCATAGTAGAACGACGAATACAATTTCCACCACGGCGTAGCTGTGCTTATTTGCTCCTCCTTTTTGACCTAAGTGTTCCGCCACCCAAAGGAATCGTTGAAGAAAAGCAATTTGCCAATCGTAGTTCAAACGAATTATGATCGGAGTTATGAACACTTGTCTGAGGCCTAATCACTGTCTCCCATGATCAACTTCTGCTCGTTCTTTCTCAAAAGTTGAATGAAATCTTTGGATGATAGAAGCCGTGTTCGCTTCCATGTCTCTGATCTTGAAAATAGCGCACTCTAATTGAAAAGGCAGTCAATAGGTCAATTATGCTTATGATGTCGGAAATTTATTCCAAACTGCTTCCAAGAGCCTAAAGGAATTGCATAATCTTACCGTCCACTTCAGATTTAAATTTATTGAAATTTATAGTTAAGGTCTAGTCATCGAATGTGGCCCAGTTATGAAACCTCGAAAATCTTTACCTTGGTTTAATAGGAACTTCAAGAATATTTTCATAGGAAAATGGGCCCATCAGCCCATTATCGTCACTTTGAGAATGATTTTCGTGAATAACAATGACGAGTGGTCGTTCTCTCGTTCGCATTGACTTGAAAATGGACTACATCAAGAAAGATGATTTATGAAGAAAAATTCATATGTAGATAAGTAGAATGCATTGTTCCATAGTAAAAGATTCTCTAACTTTAAATGATATAGTGTGTGTAGTGTTACTACTTTTATGCGGAGTTTATATAATGCTATTAGATAGGACATCCTGCACTTTTTAGAAAGTATTAATTATATGGATTCTAAATTACAGTTCAGTGAAGTCAAAGGTATGTGGGTTCGAATATTGTCATATGAAATATTTTCAAGTCCAGAGTAGGTAGATTGTAGGTTATCTTAAGAACTGTCTACCTAAATTATCAATTAGTAATTCATTTTTCTATATATGTATGCATTGCTCACATTCATTACACTTGCATTTCTTTTTTTTGTCGTTTGCACTTTTCCTTTCGCTTATAGGACTCTTTCAGTGTCATAATACCGGCGGTAATCAAGAATGGATTTTTACAAAACGCGGCCAAATTAAACACGATGATCTCTGTTTGACATTAGTGCAATTTGCACGCGGCTCGCAGGTTGTAATGAAACTTTGTGATGAGTCCGAAAACCAACATTGGCGAGTACGCGAAGGCGGTTTTATACGTCATCACAAACTAAACGTTTGCCTCGATTCGAGGGATCATCAAGAGCACGGTGTAACAGCACAAGGCTGTAACTCAGCATTAGATACGCAACGTTGGATGTTTACTGTAAGCTAAAGACCGTCAAATCATTATCATAGAAAATGAATCGAAAAGCGAATGAATAAGCTACGTAACTAAAGGCAAAATGCGATATAAAAAGTATTCATAAAAGACTTTTCAAAGCAAACATTTGAACAACAGCAACAACAATAACAGCTCTCTAAAAAGTTTTAATATGTCTGTATGAGTGGAGTATATATAGTATAAACTCAATACCAATATCATTGTTTAGTTTAACAATGATGATGATGATGATGATGATGAAAAATGAGATGAAAATGAAAAATCGAAATCGCCAGCAACATCATCACCATCGGTTGTCTTTGTTATTGATGTTATAGATTTATGCGGGTGGGTTGTTGGTCTTGTGTTGTGCTTGCACAGGTGATATTTATGTTATACGACTGTCTATAATGTATTCAAGTTGTTTTTATATTATTTTTCTGTTGATTTATGTGGACTAGCTAACGTTAGCGTTTTCATTAAAATGCTTGTTATGATGAAAGTGAAAAAAAAGGCAAACAAATAGAAATTATTATTTTTACTTATTCTTCTTAAGTTCTTTGTATCCACTACCAAAGAATGGGGAATTCTACTATTTTCATTTGATTTGTAATATATATACGCTTTAGTTCAATATGTGATATAGTCTTCACAAGTGAATATATAAGATGATTTCATTCTTTCCTCTTGTCTTTCTTTTTAAAATATATTTTTAACGTTTCGTTACCAAAGAATAAGGAAAAGTTGCTACTTTCGCTGCTTTTGAAGTCCTTAGAAATACGCTGCAGAAACTAACAACCATGTGATATTCTTGTTCCAAGTAAAATTTGATATTGTTTTGAGTATATCCTCACAGATGTTTGATAATCTGTTCATATTTTCATGTCCTCTAGCGCAGAACAAGGGAATGCTAGTGTTATCATTTCATTTTTCAAATCAGCAGCGAATAAAAACTATGCGAAGTTCTTATTCTAAGAAGTTGATTTAAAAACTTTTCTGTATCTGTTTGCCTCTTCTAATAATGGGAAATAATATTACAGGTTTTCCCCTGGCGAAATAGAGAATAAGCACGAGTGGGTAGAGACGAAGCACAAAATAGAATTTAAACGTGTTTTCCTATCTCTGTGTCCGTCCATTTGTTCCTAATAACTTTTAAGACCGGAATGTATCCACAAAGGATATGAATGAATCCTGTTATTGTATCATATATTATATCTTTTATTATATTCTTGTTGATTCTAGAAAACTAGAAAATTTCAAACTTTTGTGCCGGATAAAATGTATTGGAAATGTATAGCTAGCATAGATCATGTTAACAAAGTTTCAGTTATAGATGCGTTTCCGAGAAAATTTTTTTCCTTCATTTGTCCAAAACGAGGTATCGTTTAATAAGAAATTTTTAATTCTAGGTAGTGGGTACTAAAAATTCGTTTCAGAGCGAATTAAGTTTTTTTTTATTTAATTTTCTCTTTTTATTTTCCTTAAAATTTTTTAATGGGAAATACACAATATTATAGAGCTAACAATTACGGGAAGTTATTTGCTCATTAGCGAACTTGTTGATAAGTGTGGATATCGTGAAAAACAAAACACAAAACAATTCTTAGTTAGACTGAAAATTGTGTAGTCAAATTTATAATGAGTTTTTTCTTAATTATTTTTTTCATGTTGTTTTTTAGGTTTATTGAAATAATTGTACATTCCATGAATTAATTTTAACTATTACTAATTGTGTTCTTATCCCTTGAGAAGATTGATATTTCCGTTCCACTTTTTATAAATTAAATGTCAATTAATTCTTTTGTATATTATTTTTATATTTTTGATATTTATTAGAAAACAATTGTGTATAGCGTATTTATTTTTTTTTTTCATTATAATTATTAATAAATTTATTGATAGTAATAAATAACAACAATACATTTGTAAATATATTTATGTAATGTAAACATTTGCATCTGAAATCAAATTTCATTTTACGACTATATAGATATATTGTTTAGTAAATAAAAAATGTTTATAAAAATAATATGTTGGCAACAAAATTTTTGGGAAAATATTTAGCAAAATTTTAATTTAAGTATATCTAGAAATATTACATTGATACCATGGATATATCTTTACTGTCGGATTTTTTTCAATTATATTTATTAAAGAATAAAAAAACACAAAAATAAAAAAAAATAAAAAGAAAACGCAAAAATACATTTAATAAACTAAAATGAATGAAAAATAAAAATGATTAATAAACGTGGAAGTCGTTTTATTAATTTATGGAAATACTTATATCCAACAGAGAGAGATTCGAGATCCATCCGTTTGCCTTTCAGTGTAGTTGTGTCTCTTTCTAAATTGATTTATTATATTTGCATTTAATATCCTTCTTTCTGCTCCTTATTAGTGAGACTCGGTTGCTGGTAATTCAGGCTGATTACAAGTTCACACCTAACAAAGAGCGATTAGAAACGTACGATTGAAATCATTAAATAAGCCGATTGTAGTTGTTTTTCCGAAAAGGCTTTGGGGATTTCGTCACGCTTTCCGGGGAAATTAGACCCCAATTTGGTAACTTTCAAACTGACCTAGCGGATGAACTCGTTGGAAGGCGGTTTCAGGGCAACTACTTCAGGGCAGCCAAATCGTGCAATGGAAAATATGTCTACTATCGAACGTAGGTAGGCCGTGTCGCGACGGTTTGTGAGAAGTGGGAAGGGTTATATATTTTTGGCTTACAAACACCCTTCGGATTGTTATAACTAACAAGAAGAGTCTTACCCTTTGACAAATACGCTCACAGACATAACCTAACCAAACGAGTATCCCTTGTGCCCTTGGGCCATTCTATAGCCGCCCTGCCTACGGTCTCCTTCGGCCCATGATGTCTCTGGGAGACCCCATCCATCGTAACAAAATCACTACAATGTAGTCGCCTTTTTTTACAATACATTATAAAATATTATTACTATTATTAGTTTAGCGAGAGAAATAAATTCCAAGAATTAAAGCACTAGCATCTAAGACTGTCAGCTTTAGTGAGAACTGTCACATACTTGGGATTTAAACTCACTACCGTTTGGTTGTTCGCCGAGATCTGCATTACAAAATAAAAACACTACTGAAAGTAAAATAGGAATTTGTGAAACGCTGAAAAACTGCTTAGTTAGGTTTAATAAAATTTCCATGTCTTACGCAAGAACTATGCAGACGTATTGTTAATTTCGTCAATAATATAATAGATCTCGTCTAGGTCACCGAATTCATGGATTTATGAATTAAAATTTACATATGTATTTTAAAGAGGGATACTAAACACTTACAAATGAGTCCGAATAGTTCCTAACATTTTAATGAGCTTGTACTTTTTTATTCCTGGGGTCAACGGACAACAAAGAAAAATGTTGCAGTTAACTCATCCTTCTTAGAGGTGTTGTGTATCTTCTGCCTACTTAGTGAAATTAGATGAATCTTCGTATTCGTTTGCGTATTAAGTAAATTCTTAAATTTTTTACACCCATCACCAGAGACCATGTAAAGAATAGATATTCTTGATCTTTATCAAATTCTGAGTAGTTGCAAATATATCCTTCCTTCCGTCTGTGTAATGTCTGTTGTAAACATTTTTCTGGCCGCCAAAGTGAAGAAATCGCCAACATATTTGCAAAAGAATTTGAAAGTGACCTAAACTGTCGAAGCGTACACCTGCAATGCCCACAAGCCTATGCAACAAAAATTGTGACCACCTTTGCTTTCCGTGTTTCATGTTTGCTACTCGTAAAGTACAATACAATACACGATAAAAATTTTCGCTTTTATTTTGAATATAGAAAAAATCATTCGCGCCAACAAAATATGATACTGTAAGAATATTTAGTTTTTTTCTTTTCTTTAGTCTTTTCTAGGCTTTTGATATTCATGCAAATTTTTGAAGTTGAAGATTTGATTTGCTTCTCAAAACTTTAAGATACAATTACTTGAAACTCACATTTTCGTCTCCATTTTTATTTCCTGTTCTTGATATTGTACTATTTCCGTTGTGTCCTATACGCACAGGTGCTATGACTTGTAATTGACTTTTTCACGTTTACGAACACTATGCCTTACTTTCCCACATAAAAGCAACTAAGCAACAACGACCAATTGGCGATAATGAAAGTTGTTAACGCGTGATGGAATAAAAACTCAATTCACTTTAACGCACATTCAGAATTATTGTGTATGGCTTCGTTCTGACATAAAAAAGTCACCCAACATTTGCATAATTTTCATAAAAATTGTTGCGTTTCCTTTGGTTTGCCTTTTAATGGATGGCAGCAGTGTGTGCATTCACATTAAATAACAAATTCTTTCTCATCTCTGGTTACATTTTGGTTTTCGCAATAAAGGAAAAATGAGGAAAAATTTTACCAAACGAGATTTTGGTTACGTATTCTGGTTAATTTAAAAAACTTGTTTTCGTTCTGTTCTTCTCCGTAAAATTAATTCCCTTTAAGTGAATTGAACGATGAATTTTAACGTTGCACACTTTCGTTATTTTTATGTAATTTCTGTGGGAAAGCTTTGTTATGTGTACAAGCAATATTAATTTTAATAGGGCTAAGTTGACAGTGTTTAAAGAAACAGCAAAGTGATCCTTTGAAAAGTAATATGTTCTTTTGTAATTTGAAACATCTCTCTCTCTCTTCACGCTATGTGTTTAAAATTTTCGTCACTTTTATTGAAAGATTCATTTTTCTGCCATAATCACCTTTATATATCAGTTTTGGATATATTCAGGAATGTTGAGACTAAGAAAATAAGCAAGAAAAAATCGTAGAATTAAATGTTTCTTCTGAGAAGAGAGCTTGTCTGACCTGTCCTTGGCTCATGGCAATAAGCGCCATAGATTCTTCAGACCAAGATCTCCCGCTGAACTGATTGTTAAAACTAACGGAAAGAGTAGTATTTGTGGAATACCGCAGAAAAGTAACGTATCGGATTGTAAATTTATGTTGATTTTTGTACCCATCACCGACGGATGAGAGATATATTCGTTTCGTTTGCAACGCCCAGAAGGAAGCATCAGAGACCCCACAAAGTGTATGTAATCTTGATCAGCATCAAATGCTAAATCGATTTAAGCGTGTCCGTCTGTCCGTCTACATTATGTCCGTTGTAAACGCAGAACTAAGCTTCAAAAACCACATAAAGTATACAAATTCTTGTTACAACTTTTGAATGCACCTAAATATGTCCATCTGTTCGTTTGCGTAACTTTGTGGTGTTTGTAGTAAACATTTTTCCGTAATTGAAAATGAGGATATCGCCTAAAAATTTGCAAAAGAATTTGGAGTTGACCTAAACTTTTCAAAGGACACGCCTACAACAGCCACATGCCTCTGCGACAACAACATTTATTTTGAAAATAGAAGAAATCATCTGCGTCCGGGTCGATATTATCGACCATGAGAATTTTCTTCTTTTACTTGTTTTGTCTTTTTTTTTGGGGTAAACAGCGATAGGTATAAAAGATTCGGTCCCAACCGAGTTTAATTTTCTTACTTGCTTTTTTGCTTTTTAACATTGCCCACAATTAGTTCAAGTTCTCAACTTTCGTTGCAACAACAATCGAGCGTTTAATGAAAGCCACAATGTCATATATAAACGATGGTATACTCACATATACACGTGTCCAAGCGCTATAAGAAAATGCAAAAAAATGACGTTATCTATAAATGGTTTCAAATTCTTGTCTGCTAATGGATGTTGAGAATGATGTAATTAAAAGAGTGAAAAATATCAGGAAAAAAGAATATCATTAGAAAGTCTTTTGTTCTTAAAATGGAAAGTTGTTTAAATGGAAATGAAAGTTAGTAAATCGTAGATAGCACTTAGCAACAATTTTTCAAATTGAAAAAATATAAAAAAAGCTTTCCAACAATTCAATGTTAGTCAGAGATGTCTTTACATACACCAATCAAAGTATATTTGCAATTAGTCCAAAGTTGGTTGATGGCGTTAAGCGACTGAAGGCGACTTGAGACAATGTACTCATGATATTACCACTAAAAAAAAAGCAATGATTGCAATAAATTTTTTATTTTTTTAAAATCATCCACTCTATTGGAAAATGTGAGGATTTTAGCAAAATTTTGAGATTAAATTTATATAACATATTGAGAAACATTGAGAAACATTGCTCCCCATTGAGAACATATTATTGTATATCGATGTCAAGCTACTCACTTAGGACTTAATAACTAATACTTATAGAAACTCTGATAGCAAATTTAGGCTGTTACCACCGTTTGCTAGAATTGAGCTGACGCCAAAATTTTTTACAGTAATTTTTAATGAAAAGTTTGCAAAAAAAGGAAAAATAATTTGTTTGCTGGCCCTACACCACTTGTGAAAAGGATATAAAAACTCATATGAAGAAAATGTGAGAAATTTTTCGACGAAAATCAGTTAAACAGGGAATAAATGTGAAAAACTAAGATGCTTAGTATCAATTGTTGGATCGCCTTCCTGTTCGGAATGGTTTATTCGGCAGCGTGACATGCTTACTTATGTTTTGTCTCATCTTCGCACGAATAATTCTTGTTTTCTTTAAATGGTTTTTACTGTTATTATGAATAAATTCTTCTTCTTCTGTGAGTCACTAAATCAATAACAGACGACTTGATAATACGGCGTGAACTCAACTCTGTGAAGGTAAAACGTATGAACGATAAAGATCGATCACTATACCGACTCATAAACATAAGTGTTAAACTTTAATTGAATGATTAATATCTGCTATCTACAGCTTTAATCAAATTTGTTGCATAACATTATACTAACTTTGCAACAACA